CGGATTTGGTGTGATTTGCAACCCTTATAATAGCGTTTCTTAAGTCTCCAGAGAGCCCAGAGCTTCAGGTCACCCCAAAATCTCGATTCCGGGTGGGGAAAGGGCCCAAATGACACCCCCCGGGGGTTGAGCCCGCAGCCTTTGCGATGAGGGCTTTGGAGGCAGACGTTTACCCATTAGGCCATGGCCAGATAGTTCTGGGGGCTGGCAGCTGCCTCCATAGGGGATTTGGGCACGGTCGCAGGCCCAATTCTGGCGGTGTCCCCGTGGGCCCTTTCCCCATCCAGAATCGAAATTTGAAATGACCAAAAACCGCCAAGAGCACAACCAAACCCGCCGAAAACCGCGCAAACCCACCAAAACCCTCCCCGGTGCAAGTTCCCAACATCAACAGCAGGTTGCAGAGGTTGAACCAGCAGGTTGCAGAGGTTGAACCAGAAGGTTGCAGAGGTTGAACCAGCAGGTTGCAGAGGTTGAACCAGCAGGTTGCAGAGGTCGAAGCTGCAGGTTGCAGAGGTTGAAGCAACAGGTTGCAGAGGTTGAACCAGCAGGTTGCAGAGAGGTTGAACCAGCAGGTTGCAGAGGTTGAACCAGCAGGTTGCAGAGATTGAAGCAGCAGGTTGCAGAGGTTGAAGCAGCAGGTTGCAGAGGTGAACCACAGCAGGTTGCAGAGGTTGAACCAGCAGGTTGCAGAGGTTGAACCAGCAGGTTGCAGAGGCAGAGGTTGAACCAGCAGGTTGCAGAGGTTGAAGCAGCAGGTTGCAGAGGTTGAAGCAGTAGGTTGCACAGGTTGAACCAGCAGGTTGCACAGGTTGAACCAGCAGGTTGCAGAGGTTGAACCAGCAGGTTGCAGAGGTTGAACCTGCAGGTTGCAGAGGTTGAACCAGCAGGTTGCAGAGGTTGAAGCAGCAGGTTGCAGAGGTTGAGCCAGCAGGTTGCAGAGGTTGAACCAGCAGGTTGCAGAGGTTGAAGCAGCAGGTTGCAGAGGTTGAAGCAGCAGGTTGCAGAGGTTGAACCACAGCAGGTTGCACAGGTTGAACCAGCAGGTTGCAGAGGTTGAACCAGCAGGTTGCAGAGGCAGAGGTTGAAGCAGCAGGTTGCACAGGTTGAACCTGCAGGTTGCAGAGGTTGAACCTGCAGGTTGCAGAGGTTGAAGCAGCAGGTTGCAGAGGTTGAACCTGCAGGTTGCAGAGGTTGAAGCTGCAGGTTGCAGAGGTTGAAGCAGCAGGTTGCACAGGTTGAACCAGCAGGTTGCACAGGTTGAACCAGCAGGTTGCAGAGGTTGAACCAGCAGGTTGCAGAGGTTGAACCTGCAGGTTGCAGAGGTTGAACCTGCATGTTCCAGAGGTTTGGTGGGCTTGCGCGGTTTTGGGCGGGTGTGGTTGTGCTCTCTTGGCGCTTTTGGTCATTTCAACATTTCGATTCTGGATGGGGAAAGGGCCCAAAATGACACCGCAAGAATTGGGCCTGCGACCTCTCCCAAAACTACTACCAAGGTGCGCAACCTTTCGCAAAACTATCTGGCAATGGCCTAATGGGTAAGTGTCCGGCTCTAAAGCCTTCTTGGCAAAATTCGTGGGCTCAATCCCCGGGGGCGTCATTTAGGCCCTTTCCCCACCCGGAATCGAGATTTTGGGGTGGCCTGAAGCTTTGGGCTCTCCGGGGACTCTCTAGAGCGGACTGGGTGCACATCCGGCTTTCGTGGGGCAGGTTGCAGAGGTTGAACCAGCAGGTTGCAGAGGTTGAACCAGCAGGTTGCAGAGGTTGAAGCAGCAGGTTGCAGAGGTTGAAGCAGCAGGTTGCACAGGTTGAACCAGCAGGTTGCACAGGTTGAACCAGCAGGTTGCAGAGGTTGAAGCAGCAGGTTGCAGAGGTTGAAGCAGCAGGTTGCAGAGGTTGAACCACAGCAGGTTGCACAGGTTGAACCAGCAGGTTGCAGAGGTTGAACCAGCAGGTTGCAGAGGCAGAGGTTGAAGCAGCAGGTTGCACAGGTTGAACCTGCAGATTGCAGAGGTTGAACCTGCAGGTTGCAGAGGTTGAAGCAGCAGGTTGCAGAGGTTGAACCTGCAGGTTGCAGGGTTGAACCAGCAGGTTGCAGAGGTTGAACCACAGCAAGTTGCAGAGGTTTAACCAGCAGGTTGCAGAGGTTGAACCAGCAATTTGCAGAGGTTGAACCAGCAGGTTGAACCTGCAGGTTGCAGAGGTTGAAGCAGCAGGTTGCAGAGGTTGAACCAGCAGGTTGCAGAGGTTGAAGCAGGTTGCAGAGGTTGAAGCTGCAGGTTGCAGAGGTTGAAGCAGCAGGTTGCAGAGGTTGAAGTTGCACAGGTTGAAGCAGCATGAAGCAGCAGGTTGCAGAGGTTGAACCAGCAGGTTGCACAGGTTGAACCAGCAGGTTGCACAGGTTGAACCTGCAGGTTGCAGAGGTTGAAGCAGCAGGTTGCAGAGGTTGAACCTGCAGGTTGCAGAGGTTGAAGCTGCAGGTTGCAGAGGTTGAAGCAGCAGGTTGCAGAGGTTGAACCAGCAGGTTGCAGAGGTTGAAGCAGCAGGTTGCAGAGGTTGAAGTTGCAGAGGTTGAAGCAGCATGAAGCAGCAGGTTGCAGAGGTTGAACCAGCAGGTTGCACAGGTTGAACCAGCAGGTTGCACAGGTTGACCCAGCAGGTTGCAGAGGTTGAACCAGCAGGTTGCACAGGTTGAAGCAGCAGGTTGCAGAGGTTGAACCAGCAGGTTGCAGAGGTTGAAGCAGCAGGTTGCAGAGGTTGAAGCAGCAGGTTGCAGAGGTTGAGCCAGCAGGTTGCAGAGGCTGAACCAGCAGGTTGCAGAGGTTGAAGCAGCAGGTTGCAGAGGTTGAAGCAGCAGGTTGCAGAGGTTGCAGAGGTTGCAGAGGTTGAACCTGCAGGTTGCAGAGGTTGAAGCAGCAGGTTGCAGAGGTTGAACCTGCAGGTTGCCACATGTGCTCTTCTGCACTTGTGCAACCATGAAGCATTGCTATCATCAACAACAACATCATCATCATGTTCTTCATCATCATCATGTTCTTCTCCTGGACCATGATCATCGTCATCATTACCATCACCACCACTACCGCCATCTTCATCATAACAAGCATCACCGTAATCGTCATCATCATTTTCATCGTCATCATTTTCATCATTTAATTACTTGTAGAACCTGTGTTTCTAGGAATTGAGATAACAACACCCCCCTAATTATAAAAACATTTTCGAGTTTTTATTTAGGGCGAAGGGGGGGGGGCCCCGACCCTTTAATATTAGGGGGAGGGGATTAGTTAGCTTTTAGAGTTATAAGTACCATAAACCCAATGAGGATCCCTTTTAGGGTACTTATAACTCTACTTGATACCTACTTACTAAGTCCCCCGACCCTCCAAGTAGGATCACTGACAAGGTTTAGGGTTTAGGAGAGACTCTTGCTCTCCATGTTCAACCTCTGTTTTACTCAGACAGGCATAGTCTCTAAGGTTTGGGGTAGAGGGTGCAGGGTTTGAGCGCTGGGATGTATGAAGCAGTTGTGTAAGGACTCTACTGAAAACAGTGGTAGTAATATTATCACCTGGGAATCCATATATAGGTAAACTGTAATCAACTAAAAAAACCCTGTTCCAAGCGTTCAGGCCCCTTTGCGAAACACCGAAAAGCCCAAAGACTCTGCAGAATCACCATCGGACACGGTTGAAACCCGAAAACAACCCTCTTCTGTCCAGTAAGGCCCCTACAACTTTACCCCAACACTCGCTCTTGGGTCCATAAAAGTTCGGGCCGATGCATCCCAACACACGCAGCAACGTCCCCGCCTGAGAACTTTCTGTGAATCTTAACCTGGGAGACCGTAACTAGGCCTACACCGCAGAATTGCATAGCCTTAGTGACATACGTTTTCATCTTGCGGGTAAGCCGCGACATTGGCATTCCCGGAATCAAGAATCCCCCTATAAAGCCATGTTTGGTCACAAAATCAATTGCTAGTTCAATTCACGACATCCTGCTATCATCAACGACATTGGGTACATACCATTCCCCATCCCCAATGTGTGTCTGCTTTGAAGAGGTCTTGATGAGCTCTGGCTTTGAGGCATCTGTCGGTTTGGGTTACGGGCTTCGGGTTTAAGGTTTAGGATCCGGGTTTTTCGGCTAGAGTTCATCGTTTGGACTTCGGACTTCGGGCTTGGGCTTCAGGGCTTACTTCTTGGAGCCGGCCGTAAGGGTCCAGGTATCTCTTTAGGAGGGTCCGGAATGTCCTGGGGAGAGCCCTGTGGGTCTCTCTGGGGTCTCAGAAACCTTCAAAATTTGAGGTTCCTGAATGTCTAGGACCCTCTGAAGTTCCGATTCATACTCTTCCCAGAGAGTCCAAAGATACCACCCAAAATAACACTCTAATTTTATGGTTTTGGGGGACCTATTTCCAAAATAGTAGTGCATATGGACACTTCGGGTTTGTCTTCGAGGACGACACTGCTGCTATCTAGACCAAGACAGCCAGCGTCCTCCTGAACGCAGCCGCCCACCAACACGCCACCACCAAGGTACCTGCGGAACCCTAAACCCTACTGTGGATGATATAAATCCTGCCTTACCCACAATAGTTGAATATACCATAATTCCCATACTTTAGGGTCCTTAGGCCCCGAACCCTGAGTTCAAGCCTTAAACCTGAAACCAACACTACAGCCAAACCCTAAACCCGAACCTAAAGCGGTTCTGAGTTTACTGTGATCATCAACCCCTTCATGTACGAGCGTTAATAATTCGAATGGTACTGGTATATTTATACAGGGAACCACGAGGAGGGACTATCACAAATCAGTCACACCCCTTTATTAGCTCGAAAGCTCTCATCTTCTCCACCCGGAATATCAATATGACACACACCACCCTGGACAAGCTTTCATACAAAGTCTCGGTAAGGCTGCCTAGTATGAACTAAGCCAAATAAGCACTGCCCAACCTTAACAGGTCCAGTCCTCAAATCTGACATCGGAACTTTTTCCGAAAATCTGAAACCCGCTCTTCCGCAAGATATTCAACCCGGACCCTTGGCATGTCCGAGCTGCGACTCTTTCTCGAAAACAGCCGAAAAAATCGTCGTCGTCGCCGCCGTCGCCGTGGCGATGGTGTTCCCCTTTACACCCCCACCCACCGGCATTTGGTCACCCTCAACCCTGTGGGATCCTAACCAAAGAACCCAAACCCCGACCCCCAACGCTAAACCCTAAACCCGAAACCCACAAAGCTAAACCCAAAAGCATAACTCCTAAACCCTAAACCCTAAAACCCTAAACACCGGAGGAGCACATGTTTGCGAAGTCGGCATGGAGACAGCCCCGGCCCATCTCGTCCTCCAGGTTTAGGGTTTAGGCTTCTGAAATTAGGTTTCGGGTTTTGGCTTCTGGTTCTTGAGTTTAGGTCTAGGGTTAAGGGTTTGGGATTCGGCTTCTGGGGTTTAAGTTTGAGCTTTTGGATTTTGGACTGTAGAGTTTAGAGTTTAGGGCTTAAGCCTTGGAAGTCCGAAACACCGAAACCCAAGCCTCAGGCCCTAAACCCTAACCCCGTATAGAATCCTTATGTCCAAGGGTAAAAGGAGGGAACCTTAATAAGGTTCCCTAGGTTTTTGCCCTTAATATACCTATTATATACCCATTATATAGCCCATTATAGGGTAGGGGTCCCCATTAAGGGTCCCTCCATTTCCTTTTGATTATGGACAGAATCCTCACAGAAGGGCGCTCCAAGCCCATCTTCAGGGAACCTCGGTGAACCCTACTTGGAGGGTCGGGGGACTTAGCAAGTAGGCAATAAGTAGAGTAATAAGCACCCTAAAGGGTATGGTACTTATAACTCGATAAAATGTCTACTCAGTAAGTCTCCCGACCCTCCAAGTAAAGGACCTGAACCCAGACCCCTGTCTAAGCCCCTCAGCGAGCCCTTAGAAATTAGAGTACCCTTACAGGAGCATTAAAGGAAATCCTTGCAGTACCCGTATAAGAACCGTTAAAGGAACCCCTTAGCCCAGCCCTTTCAGGAAACTGTAAGGGAACCCTTTCAATACCCCTACCCCTAACCTTACAGGAAACCCTTATAGTACCCGTTTATGTTTCTCCCTACTGCTACTCATAATCGATACTCCTGCCGTCCCTGATCCCCAAAACGGTAATTAGCCGCTTAAGAGTGTCTGGGAACCGCATGCTATGTCCTCTAAGCCGACTCCCGCGTCGGCGACTTGCATGCGCAGCAAGGGCTTCTTAGATGCCTACCGATCGGGGCAAGGGGGCTTTGGGTTTTAGGGTTTAGGGTTTGGTGTTTTGGGGGTTTAGGGTTTGGGGTTCAGGGTTTAGGGCTATGGGGCTTCAGGGGTTTTGTGGTGTTCGGGGGCGGTTGGGTGTTGGGGGCGGTTGGGTGTTGGACGATCGATGGCCTTGGGCTTGGAGGTTTTGAAGTTTACGGTTTTGGGTCGAATTAAAGCTGCACAGGGCTGGTTTGAGGGTTCGCTATGTCAAGCAAGAATACCTTGTGATTGAAGTCAGTAAATAGCTCGCAGTTCAAATCCAAGAATATGAGCATGCAGTTCTGTCTACCTCTTAAAAACTCAACCCTAAAACGGGCAAGAGACGAGGTTCTGGGTTGCTGCTTGCAACGGATGCCGCGAATGATTTAAGTTGTTTCGTTGTTTCCTTCGAATGGAAAGCATTGTTTGCAGCAGTCATCCCCAAAGACAGGAAATTTGGGGCACGTAACAATTGCAATCAGGTTTTGGGAGAAAGAAAAACAGAACTGTCAAAACAGGAACGCTACAGAATGGTATAAGTAGTTATCCAGACCCCTTCGTTGCGTCGCCTGCCCTTTTCGTTGAGAACCCATGCCTCTGTTGGAGCTATGGTAATTGATCGATTAGCCATCGTTGGTGTGGGCGGAATTTTTGCGCTTCGCAGTTTCGGGACAGGCTGGCAGAAGCAAGCAAAGCAGAACACAACGAAACCTCCAGGTAGGTCAGGGCTCTTGAAAAGTACGGGGGTTCAGGCCTCAGGCGGGTCAGGGGTTATACAGCGAGTTGAAGCTGCTGTGCTCTCGTGACACCTTGGCGCTCTAAACCGTAAGCCCCAAGTCCTGAAACCCAAAGCCTCCACGACTTCCAGCTCTTTGCGCTTGGCGTATGAGTAATGCAATTAGAAGAGGGTTTCGGGGCCCATTTTCCTGTAGATATAAAATCAGGAACCCCCAAAATAGTATAGATAGGTAATTCAGGGCCCTGTAGTAAATCCAAACCCAAGTGCCGACTGAACACCCCATGTGGTTTCGATTCCCAGGCCCCTTCGCCGAGACTCAAACATGTCCAACATTCCGGCAAGTGCAAAGCGGTTCGTTGTGGTTGATGATATACGTCCTGCATTACCCATGATAAGGAAAATACCATAATTCTCATAGTCTAGGGTCACTAATGGTTTAACGTGTGCTCATCAAGGGTATTGCAGCTTCTGGGCTACGGGTGAATCCCACTTGCCTTCCATGCGGCGGTGGAGGCTTTCTCGGTTCTAACCTCCACGCCCAGGAGCTTCAGTTAAGGCAAAGGAGAGTTTCCGCAAATGGGGGACCCTAATCTAGTACCCTAAATAGTAGGATCCTTACTATAAGGATCCCAAAATAAGGGTCCCCTATTTTCGGAAACTCCCATATACTTGAAGATGCACTCGTTGATCCTGACAAGGTTAAAGTTAATCAAAGGGATTTTTGGACTAGGGTCACATTCTTGCAAAGCTTGACCGTGCATCGACTGCACCTCAAGTGGACTACAGGAAGTTGGCGCAGGAAAAGGGAGGCATGCCCTGCATAAACATGTCAGAACTGTCCATGAGGGAATTTTCGGGTTTTCTTCATGTGATAGCCTTCAACCGTGAACCCTAAACCCTCCATGACCCTTCCCACGAAATGCTTTTCTATCAAGTGTATCCAACTGCACAGGCTAGCACTAATTACGGGGTAGGCACGATATCTGTCTGAACAGATCCGAGTGCATGCAGCCCAAGACGAAGTTCCGACATACGGATCGCTTGCCTTGCTAGCATATGAAAACCTGGGCCGTAAACCCTTCCGACACCTCATGCAACATCGCACCGAGAGGGGTGCCTGCCGCCAGATGCGCAGCTCGCCCTTGGGTGGCTCTAACCTGCTAGCAATTCAAGATTTAAGTCCCCAAACCATGCACCCTAAACGCTATACCCGATGCTTACGGCCCAAAATGCTCTTCGGATTCTTTTGCTGATTGTTGAACATCTGGCGCCCCTATTGCAGAAGTTCCTTAATCAAGGGGACTTGGACCCTCCAGTTTAGTTGGCATAGGGTTTTTGGCTATATGATAGTATACTTATGTTGGTAAGCATTTAACCTTCTCTAGGAGGTGCCTTTAAAGCCTTTGAAAAATATTAGTAGACAAGATGCTCTTAAGCCCAATAAGAGCAAACATAAAATGTCCCAAAGCCCTACCTAGTTCTATATTCGGCTAAGCACCCTTCCAGCATTGCAGCTCTGGAATTGGAGTTCAGGGATTCAGGGGTTCAAGGTTTAGAATTCAGGGTTTAAGCGGTTTAGGGTTTAGGGTTTAGGGTTTTTTTTTTTTTTTAAAGTGTAATGGCGTCTTTCTGTTGCGAAGCGTCAGATCGTCGCCTGCCACACCTACGGGGCGTACACTGGACAAAGGACATTGATGTCAAGCTGATTGTTTCAGTTCAGCTTCACAAACAACAGACTATACATCATCATCACGGCTCCTGCTACGATTTGCACGAGCACCCGTTCTGCGACGGCGCGTGCCATGACTGGACACATGTGTGGACTCATCTCCTACGGACCTCGGATGTACAGATACAGTGGGCCCAGATCCCGACGATCCCGAATTAGCAGCCCCACTGCTCAACGAGCTCAGTTGTTCAAGGGCAGGGTCTGCACGAGGACGAACCCGTCGTGGTGGTGGACGTTCACGACGATGACGACGTCGACCATGACCTCCTCGAAACCAAGCATGTCTAGGTACTTCCGGGCGTGGTTCACCTTCAGGCCAGTTAGGGATCGGCACCGACGGATTCGCCTGTATCACATGCAGTGTCCGGTTGTCTTCCGGAGGCCAGAATCCTTCGGGGGGTTCGAGTCCTTCTCCCCGGTAAGCCCGGCGCACAGCAGCCCTCCATGCCCTCCTGCGATAACCTTGTACCGTGTGAGCATGGTCATGAGGTAGGAGGCCAAAAAGTTCTTCCAGATCCGACGGGAAGCCAGGCTGAAGCATGACAATCGGATCATCTGCCCACTGTGACGTCCCAGAAGTTGTCGGCCCAGATCCGAAGCTGGCCTCACGATACACAGTACCAAGCACCTCTCTGGCATACTGTCTCGCATTCAACGGCACTTCAGTGAGCGGCACCTGGATCCATGTAAGGGCTTCCTCGATCGCATCTTGAACAAGTGCTTCTTGATGACGAAGGGCTCTTAGTCGGTCCTGCAGGATCCTCACCAACTCCAAGGCATCTAATTGTCCACCATGTACCAGCTGGGTATTAACGACGTCTCTGACAACATCACTGGGCCAAAGAAGACGATGAACCGAGGACGAGCTTGTGGAGGTCGTTGTAGAGGAGGAAGAAGTTTCACCCAGGTCTCCCCACCATGTCCAGAGACTTGGCGATGTTGTTGTTGAAGTCGAAGCACTGGATGAATTTCCCCCCAAAGACCAGCAAGAACTTACTAAGGTCGTAGTGGTAGAAGTCTCCTCAGTCTCTTCATCATCCTCCCGGGGGGATCTCCAAATACCCACAGGTTCCAGAGACACCAGCTGGGGTTGGTTGACTGGGACAGCTGGCGGAGGTCCATTGGGTGGTACATCTGGATCTGCAGGAGGAATCCGAACGAGTTCATGATCCGAATTGTAGGCATATTCGCTGTCCCACTGTGACCTGGTAGACGAACTGTTGGCCGGCCTACTTCGACTACGAGAACGAGCTCGTTCGGATGTGGGCACCGATTCCTCACCATCCACCACTTCACCTCCTCGCTGGTTTACTCCCGAACTGTTACTAGCCAAGGCATCTGACCGAGGTGAATTGCCAACGATGCCTTCGCTCTCGCCAGGTTGGAGGGGAACCAGGAGGTGGGCGTCCAAGCCATCCGTAAAAATCGTGGAGAACTGTCGACCCCACAGAAATGTCCTCCATCTGTCAATTTCCTCGCGTGGTACGCGTTGGACGGGGAGAACTCCTCTGGGTAGAAGGCGACGATGAAGAATTCGGTGGACCACACGCATTGCCTCTAGGCCTTCTTCTGCACGACGAAGAAGTCTGGCTAGGGCCCATCGGCTCTCTGGTCCACGTCCTTGTCGTTGTTGTTCATCCAGAGTTGCCAACATGTTCGTAATCCTTGTCACCTGGCCCTGTGGGATCCCGGCCTCTTGCAACAAGGCAGTCTCGCTGTTGGTGATCGCCATGAGAGCATCATCGTCAAGGGGAAGCCGAGCTTCCTGAACATCTGGAAAGAGTCCATGGTTGGGGAGAGCCAGTTCTCCAGACATTGTCGTGCTACTGGTCGTCAGTGTGTAAATCCACCACATCTCTCCCCACACATTCGGAAAGGGCATGGAGGATGGCGTGTCTTCAAAAGAGGCTCCCGTTGACGTCGAGGTGGTCGTGGAAGAAGACAAGCTTGCCGACATGCTCGTAGTAGTTGTAGTCTCCTCTCTCTCCGTGTACCATCCACTCCAAGAGGAAGACGACCATTGGTCCGGATTCTGTTGGTAAGAGGCCGCGAAGTTCCACCCATCTGCCCATTCTTCTTGTGAGGACCACGCGGTGGGACCAGAAGACATCTCAGGACAGGCATTTGAGTTTTCTTCACAATCGGTTCGGAGATTTTCCGGAGCTTCAGGCGTAGAAGGCCACGATGAGGAAGTGGAAGAATTTGTCGGCCAAGTTGTGACACCTTCCCAAGAGCGGTTCACTGTCGCCCCTTGTTCCACCGTCCCATGCTCATGCCATACATTTCGGTCTTGCCTCCACTGCCTCTCTTCGGTTCTCCATGCGCTGTCCCTAGCAGTCCAAGAACTCCATGAGGAACAGGATTGGCTGGTCGCATCATCACTTCCCCACCAGGAGGGGTTCCAATGGTAATTGGCATTGTCCATATTTTCCACATTATCTTCCTCAGCCCAATGTAGTTCAACATCTCTCACAGAGGCAGTCTCCTCATCTTCAGGCACTTGGGGAAGATCTCGCTGCTGACGTGCTGCTTTGTCCTTCGCATATTGCACGAGCCATGCCGGTCGCCAATTCCCGCGCATATAGCTGAGCATCCTCTCTTCTCTCTTCTTGGTCCGTTGAAGTCCCCTTCCGCCTGTATGTTGGCGCTGCTCCCACGGTGTACGTGATCGTGCATGCCATTCGCCGTTCTTATAGAAGCCCACAGTCGAGGTGGAATCCGAGGACGAGCTTTGATTGCCATCATTCTCGGTCTCCACATCCGCTGTCATCCCACTGGCATCGTCATCACCAGCCGTTGTGGAACTTTCATCCCCACCATCGTCTCTACTAGGCGAGGCTCTGACATAGAAGTTCTCCCCATAGAACGTGACTCCCTTAACGGCAGGGCCTGAAGGAAGGAGGCAGTCGCCCTGGATGGTGAAGGCCGGGGTATCGTCGTCGATCGGTCCGCTTGATGAGGGCACAACCGCGGGGTCATCATCTTGCGGAAGAGCATCCGCTGGCGTTGAACTCCCTGATGTCTCCCTCTGCTCTCGTTCACGACGTCGATTGCGCACTGTCCCATTTGGATGATGCCATCGATCAACCCCATCTCTTGTGACACCAAAGCGTCTGGTGATCCCTGCTGCAGTATCCGTGGAGGAGGAACTTCCCTTCAACGTAGTCAACGAGCTTGCCTTCGAGGTAGTCGCCGAGTGTCCTACCGATGAACTTGCAGCCGAGGAAGCCCCACGGAGGTTGCGTCTATCTCTCACTTGCTCCCACCAGGCCTGCGCATTGTCCGCAGCTTGATCTTCACACTGAACAGACTCTCCTAGTTCAGGGTCTTGCAAGGCATCTCTCCCCGCAAAAGGCAGCGGTATGTGCTGTGGGGAGGGCGGTCTCGAGTCTCCAACCGGAAGGTCAACTTGCTGTAGACCCAGACTGATGTTCTCATCCCATGCCGTTGTCAAACCAAGCTCCAAGCTCGACGTGCTGGGTGTCCAGTTTCCCTCCTCCCATGCCGCTGCCTGATAGAGCATCACCTCCTCATACGACCAAGGACGAAGTTCAGCGGGACTGGTACTTGATGCACTTGACTGAACCTGCGAAGTGGTCGACGAAGTTGTGCACGACCTCACTGACCAGGATGAGGAACTTGAGACCCAGGACAAGATGGTCTGACCTGGGGATACCATCTGTGCCGGAGAAGTGGACGATGTGGTAGCACACAACGTCGCCCCACTTGAGAAGGAGCTCGATGTCAAGGTGCAGGAGGTTGTTGAGGTCGACCAACTCCACGTTGTCTTGCAAAAAGAAAAGGACTCGCATTCTGAAGAGCTCAGCGAGTTCAAGGTTGTATGCAAACTCAAGGGCGTCGTGGATGTGGTCGAAGCAGGTGTTGAAGATGATGTAATCCAGGACGAAGCGCCCTGGCCTGGGACTACCATCGGGGCCGGCAAAGTGGACGAGGAGGTAGTACACACTGTCCCCCAACTTGAAGTGGAATTCGGCATCGAGGTCCAGGATGTTGTCGAAGTAGACGAACAAAGCGTTGTCCAACTAGATGATACAGCCTCGGTATCGGAAGAGCTCAACAAGGTCCAAGTTGTAGGCGAAGTCGAGGTCGTAGAGGAAGTACTCGGAGAAGTCCTGGATGTTGTCGAAGTCGACGAACAAAGCGTTGTCCAGCTAGATGATGCAGCCCCGGTGTTGGAAGAGCTCGACGAGGTCGAGGTTGTAGGCGAAGTCGAGGTCGTGGAGGAAGTAGTCGATGAAGGCCACAAAGAAGATGTCATCCATGTCATACTCGAAAGGTCATTGTCCACCAGGCCAGCAGCCACCGTCGCCAGCACGCCGAGGGCGCGCAGCCACGCCATCAAGAGGGATGAAAGCAGGTCGTAAGGCGGACAAAGTGTTTGCAGTTCGCCTCGAGCCAGGCAGAACAGGGCAAACCTCCCAGTCATGGTTGTGCATGAACTGAAGAACATGTACGCGTCGTTGCAAATCAAACACTGCCGCAAAAATGCACAAAGTCGTGGTTACTCATGTTTCGTATCATTCAAGGAGGGGCAAAGTCGCCCCATATCCAGAATCACTCATCTGATCGTAGGGCACTTCAGACAGGACATATGCATCCCGAGGAAATCAGCCTTCCGATGAAGGACTTCACACTCTCGAGGACCCAAACGCCACATCAGACAAACCCCACAAGTTAACATCGAAGCGCCAGTTGTCTCTCACGTGTCCACTTTACATCCCACATCCGAAGATAGTCATCCCTCGCACTTGCCCAAAGATTTCTTTGCATCGCAAGGTTGGACCAGTCACTGCCGTGAGCATCTGAGAGTTGTCGTTCAGTATTGGATGCATAAAACCTAACAGGATGCCGTTCACCGACCGTAGGACTGAGCGACTGCTGGTATCTCCACCAGCTAGTACATTTCCACTTGAGTGTCCGCATGGTGAGGCCAGCTATCACACTTCCATGACTCAGGACTTCTTGCATGCGGGCCCAATGTCCATGAAGAGTGTGCTGCAGCTTCAGGAGTGAGGATGACCAGCGCGGTCTCCCTGTGTAGGCAAGCCACGAGCGACAGTGGCGAAGTGTACGACTGTTCCATTCTATCCATGTCTCCTCAGGATGTCTCCCCATTCGGAAAGCACTACGAAGAATCTGCAGCTGCATAGTGTTGGCTTGCTTGAGGTCGTCTTGCCCCCAATGTACCGCACCAGCCGTCCAAGCAAACTGTGACTCCACCAAGGAGCGAATCATATCAGCTTTCTTGGCCCAGCTGGCCCTTCCTCTCAAAAGTTCACGATGAAATGCAGCTGCAGAGCGTGTACGATGCAGGAGCTCACGGGCCTGTTGTGACTGGGATTCTTGCAAGCTGAACGAAAGGCCTAGAACTTTGACTGACTCATCATGGCCAGAGATCTCGAAGAGGTCTCCTCCCGTCTGGACACGTCTGACCCCACGATAGTCGGCAGAGGCAACAATTTTGGTCTTCTCGGTTGCAAGATGCAGTCCATGTTTCGACAAGCATCTCTCTAGGACCTTAATGCGCCTGGACAATCTTCCCAGTTCGGATTCAAGGATGAAGATGTCATCCTGATAGAAGACAAGATCAATATCAAGTCCCTCGAATGGTCGTCCAAAGTTCTGCCAGCCTCGATGTTCAACAAGTGACATGAGGAGGTCATTCATGACTAAGCCGAACACCTCTGCACTGTCAGGGGCACCTTGTTTAATTCCGATGTTTGGGTGAAGGCGAATTTCTCCCCCACCAGGAACGAAACCTTTTAGGCAGTAGGTCTTCAGCTGTGCCAGCAAGAACCTAAGTTCATGACGGAGCCCAGTCGGTGCCAATCTACTCTTCAAGAACTCGACCACCTTTTGTCTATCCAAGCGATCGAATGCGCCTGAGATGTCAAGCTTGCATAACAGGACAGGTAGATGCCATTCTTTAGCAACATCACGAACACGTGAAATCGCCCCGATGATGTCTGCCGCCTGTCGCCCCTTTCCACAACCAGACACTCGTGATCCTGTGCGTAGTCGGGGCATCGTTCGCTCACAGACAAGTTTTGTGATCATCTTGTGAAAAACAGAGCTTACACAAATCGGCCTCAGGTCGCCTGGTTTTTGAGGGGATTCGCATTTAGCAAGAAGGGCCAGGAAGTTCTCCTCCCACTCCTCAGGGAACTCCATCTGCTCCACGATGTGATTGATCAGCTCTAACACTTGCGGGCCAACAGCAGGATGACGCATCGCACCCCTCAGGAGCGAGACACTGATACCATCAGGACCAACTGCACCAGTTGCCTTCATCGCCCCCAAAACCCCATGAACATCCTCGACGGAAAAAGGAACGAAGGCCTCGTGAAGTTCGACCCCGTCAATCTGGAGTTGAAGGAGATCATCCCAGTCGGTACCAAACTCATTCTCTGGGTTTAGGGTTTAGGGTTTAGGGTTTCTTCGGGTTCGCAGATGGGCCTTACAGCTCACGGCCCGTAGTTACCCTACGGGTCCGAACACTTCGGGGAACCTCAAAACGTACGGTTGATGATATAAATCCTGCATTACCTTAAGGACCCTAAACTATGGGAATTATGGTATATTCCTTTTTATGGGTAATGCAGGATTTATATCATCAACAGTAGGAGTTCTGGGACTCCAAAGAGACCCAAGGGCTCTCGCTAGGAGATTCCGGACCCTCCTCAGGAGAGACCTGGACCCTTAGGGTAGGGAGGAAATGATGCAGGTTGTTGGAGGATTCAAGTTCGATGTCAAAGGCTCAGGGTCGTTTGGAAACTCCAGAAGCAGTAAGAACCCAAAACTACTCCGAAAACTCCGGAAATCCCCTAAACCCTACACCCTAAACCCCTGAACCCCAAACCCCTAAACTCAAACTCTAAACCAACCTAATGCCTACAGCCCTCTACCGCATGGGGGCTCGAGTCAAGTATAAGTTGAACCATAACCCTAAGGGTCCAAAGGACCCAATAACTAGGGTTCTTAGAAGGTTCTGTGTTTTAAGATCCAAAAGACCCAATAATTAGGTACTTGGGTTTAGGATAGTAGTTATGCAGCCCAATATTTAGGAGAGTATATGATTATAAGGTACTTGGGCCCTTAGGCACGGTGTACCCGTTGATGGGAGGAACGAAACGTCAGCATCCGGGTTTTGGGGTTTAGGGTTGAGGGGTTGGGGGCTTCTTGTCACATGGTTGGAACCCGCCAGACTCGTTTCGGAGCCTGCTATCTGGGGGCCTTCGGGGCTGTTCTCAGCGTACTTTAAGTAATTAAATGAAAGGAACGAAATCACTCTCTTCATGAAGGTTTGGAAGCAGAGGAATGAATGTAACCTAGAGCTGCGGTTAAGTCATAAAGGCTCCTTTCCAGATAACACAAGGTAACAGAATGAGGAACAAGGTGGTAGAATGACTGGATAAGGGTTCTATACCGGTTCGTCCGAATAAGGGTTCGATTGACGGCCCTACAGTCAACTTAACCGGCCAAGGACTCAGTAAATAGGTTCTAGGAAGAATCATGCTTGCCCTAGCTGAGGTTTTATATTTACCACTCTTGCTACAAGCCCTGAGTAGGGTCGTTTAGGGTTCAAGAAGCAGGGTTCACTGTCCAGCCAGGGTTTTCGGGCTGAGATTTTAAGATTTGCGCTCTTTGCCTAGACCCCTAACACCGGACTTAAACAACCAATTCTGGGCCGAATCCCGATCAATCCAGCCGGGCAAGCTCAACTTCGAACATGCTTAATGTGATGGTCCTGCAAATATCGCTACTTTGCAACACGCTTTAACACTTCACGTACATCAGATGTGCCTGCATCGCTCGAAGTAGTGAACGAACATCCGCAATTTCGCCACTTCCTTCGGCGCTGGAGTTCGGGCTGGAGTAAAGTAAAGGGTTTACGGGTTTGGGTTTGGGGTTTGGGGCTTGGGGGGTTTTAAGGGTTCTGTCAAGGGGTGTATGAAGGTATCTACAGGAGTTCTATACCGGTTGAAAGTCTACTTAGAGGAGCGGCGACGTAGTATGTGGGTTTTAGCAGAGATACGCCAGGTTCCCCAATAACCCCTTCGAAACAAAGGTACCCGTTTTGCTGCTATTCAGTGTTAAGAACAACCCAAACTAAAAGGGAAAATGTGTACTACTGGGGCCCCTAGTATAGGTAATCACCCAGGGCACCGACAACACTATCAATGAATCAAGAACCGACCCAGTAAGTGAATCATCTTGGGTCGGTATATTCCTTAATTTAAGTCGTATTGGAGTCTCTGGATCCCGCTTTCTTTGGTTCTCGGGCCTCGGGCTTAGCCTTTCGGCTACTCTTGCTGAGATTGCGATCCCCTCCACCCGTCTTCTGTTGCGCTCCACTGGGTCCGAACAACAACGCGACCCTAACCCTAAACCCTAAGCCCTAAACCTTAAACCCTAAACCCTAAACCCTAAACCCTAAACCTTAAACCCTAAACCCTAAACCCTAAACCCTAAACCGTAAGCAACATCCGAGGGAAGAAGGGGGAAGGCCTCTTGCCCATAAGGGCTCCTATAAGGGATCTACAGGGTTTAGGGTTTAGGGGACTCCACTATCAATTATCTACAGGGTTTAGGGTTTAGGGGACTCTAATATCTCTTAATTCAGGAATATGCCTTAAATTATAGCAGGATCCCTAATCAGATTTAAGGTGCTTTCCCTAATCCCTACTTCAAGGATATTGGAGCCTCTGGGTGTCAGTCTGAATCAAGGTGTTTAGGGTTTCGGGACAGTGCAGGGCTTTGAAACCAAAATCCCAAGCCCTGAATCATAGAGGAAACATCCAGGGAATCCCGAAGCCCTTGCGAAAGGAGTGTCTTCAAATCTCACTGGACCCCTAAGTTCATCCTTGGAGGTATACTTGGAGGGTTGGGGGTCTTAGTAAGTAGGTACTAAGTAGAATTATAAGTACCCTAAAAGGGACCCTAATTGGGGTTATGGTACTTATAACTCTACAAAATAGTTACTTAATGGTCCCCCGACCCTCCAAGTACTGCTTGATCAAAGGACCCTCGAATCCTTGGTACCTGAAGCCTCATGCACGTATATCAAACACCTTCAAAAAGTCTAGAACCCTGTACTTATAAGACACCTATTGTAGAGACCCACCCTCAAGTCTAAACCCCAAATCCTGAACCAGTTAAACCTAGGGTACTAATATAACTATAATTGTAACCTACTTACTGCGTCCCCTGATCCTCAAAGTAAACCCTCCCTTGTCGAACACTTCGGCCGCAGTAAAGAATCCCTTTCCCCCGCCCCTCAAACCCTAAACCCTAAACCCTAAACCCTAAACCCTAAACCCTAAACCCCTAAACCCTAAACCCTAAACCCCTAAACCCTAACCCTAAACCCTAAACCCAAAACCCATCGCACTCAAAAGGCTCCAAGGGTAGGATAGCTCATATAAGGGATCCTTAACCCTACTTGGAGGGTCGGGGGACTTAGTAAGTAGACAATAAGTAGAGTTATAAGTACCTTGAAAGGGACCTTAATTGCGGTTATGCTAATTATAAGTCTCTAAAATAACTACGTAAGTTCCCCGACCCTCCAAGTACCTACATTCATCCCAGAAACTTCCGGGATGATACCCTTGTACCCCTCAGCTGCTTCCTGCGGAAACGGTCTTCGGGGGCAGAGCAACTGCTCGAAGCTACACGCAGGCATCGCCCTATCCTTGGCTTCTCTGGCTTCAGGATTCAGGGTTTAAAGGGTTCTAAAAAGCTCTATCACGGTTCTATGAGAGTTCAAAAAGGGCTCAGGCTTACTTAGGGCTTGGAGTTTAAATTCAGCTACAGGGCTGATGGTTTAGGATTCAGAGTTCAAGGTTTAAAGAGGGCTTCAGGGTTGCAAGTTCAGGATTTACAGGTTAAGGTTTAGCGTTCAAACATTTACGATTTGAGGCTATGTGTTCCTTCGTATGAGACAAATGAATTCAAGAGCCGCCACGTTGCCGGTGCGTCCAGGAGGCACAGGAACATCTGCCTGGACAACGTGTTGCTCTCATCCCGCATTCTTAAACCCTAAATCCAAACCAGCAACCCCAAAAACCTATATCCTAAACCCTAAACCAATCCCTTGAACCCTAGATCCATCTTAAAGAATCAGGGAACTTGGCAAGCAGGATAAGTAGAGTTGCAGGCAGGATAGCCCAACTTCGGGTAGTGATAGCTCAACATGTAACCTACTGACCAAGTCCCCTGGTCCTTAAAAACAATACCCTGATGAAACCTTGCCTACAAAGCCATTGCTTAGCCACCCGTAGAAGCCCTAAACCCCAGACCCTAGAACCCAAAACCCGAAACACTACATCCTAAATCCTCCACACTACCCGAACTGTTAATGTTCTCATCACGCGAATCACATGCAATAGGAAAAAAAAACAAAAAAAGCAAGACCAACCGATTCAACCACAGAAGATCCTTACAATCTACGAAGTCAAGCCCTTTGATCACCTACCTTCTCTCAGAACGGACGGATCCCCAAAGCCAGCATTATGAGCATCATCGGCACGCGGGCCGGAGCAAGATTTTGCGATTAGAGCTCTGGGTTTAGGGATTTAAGGGTTTAGGGCTCAGGGCCGAGAGGTCTTTAAGATCAGATCAAAAGCGAAATTCAACTGATGCTCCTGCTGCGCATTTCGGCCCTTCAATCAGATTGCCAACGATGCCGACACCTACCTTCATCATCCCTAATTAAAGACTAAAACCATCTTCTGAAATCCTTTGCCTTGAGCTTATGGCAGAGGGCTTGAAAGGCTTCGGGTTTAGGAGGCTAGGGGTGTAGAGTTTGGCTGCTTCGGGTTGATGCTCTGTAGCTGGTTTGCTGCTTACTTAGAGAATTTTGGTTATGGGTCTTATATTTCTATAAAATAACTATTTAGTAAGTCCCCCGGCCCTCCAAGTAATGCTCTGATGCCAAGAACCCCCAGGTCTCGCAGTTCCCACGTCACAGACAAGAGACGCCATGAGACTCAGCACCAAACCGCGTTCCAGCCCTTGGTAGTCCTGGTTTGGAGGACCCCGAAACCGAGTAAATTAAGGCCTAAAGCTTAGGGTTTAATGATTAAGGTTTCGGGGCTAGGGTGTCGGCATTAATATCTAGGGTTGACGGTTAGTCATGGTCTACGGAGGGCTTACAGCAAGGTTCTTGCTGTTTGGGATTCCGACAGTTTCCATAACACCGCAGGTGGAACCTCCGTGAAAGTATCGCACGG